CAGCTGAAGTAGCCTGCAGTACTGCACTCTAACCACTGCGCCCCTTCCACTCTATGATGGCAGGAGAGTGGTTCTATGTACCTTTGCCGCCATCTAATGGTTATCTATATTCTTGCAACAATGATCTCATAACACTAAATTATTATTTCATAGACTTATACCCTTATATTTTCTCAGGAGTACCAGGTATTTACAGTTCATTTGATACTCCAATTTTACCACACAACAACCCAGTGAGGCAGGAGGGCTGACAGAGAGTGACTAAATGAAAGTCCTTCAGTGAGTTTCCATGGCTGAGGAAACTTGAACTTACTTCTTAATCAACACATTGGCCTTATTTTAAGTTGGCTGAATTGTCTTGACTTTAATAAAACTAAAATTACTATCTTAAAGATACTAAATTAAATTCAATAAAGATTAGTTGACTTAAATCCCCCTGAAATAAATGTATTTTAAAACATGACTATCTTGTACAATACACAGTACAGCTATATGTGCCTGCTTGGAACTTAATTTCTGAATGTTAGCTGTACCCATGTAAAGTATATGCTGAAAAGTAAATTGAATTTATTCTAATCTAACATTAATTTAATCTAATGAAGTATTGTAGCAGTAATGACAATGGTTGAAAATTGAATGATATGATATTTACTGCTAAATCAAAGATGTGCCACTTTGACAGTAGTAAATACTCATAACTAGCCTTTTAGTAGTGTGTGGATGGCCAAACTTCAAAAAGTGTAGAACCGAACTTGAGCAAAAACAAAATTCAAATGGATTTTATTTATACTTTAAACGATTCCAACTGTAATATAGTTGTTATCATTATCATGTAGTTGCTAGTTTATGCAAGTCTGGATGTCAGCTAAATTTGTATGTGATTTTCTGAGTTGCATTCAAATTAAATAGATTTGTTCTTTAGAACTAAAATACTGACTGATGTAAATCCAGGCACATGGGATTTTTAAAAAAAATTGGCAAAGAAATGGATTTATTTCTTTTTAAGTTTCTGTAAACTTAAACCGGCGTGCAAACATATTTTGACATAATAGCATTTTTCTGAATAAATATTTTAAACACATTATTATACAAAAATTCATTGAACCCAAAGACATTCACAGATCATATAATTTTTATCCTGTTCCAGCTTAGATAAATACCTAAGAGAAAAGAAGAGGCATTAGAATCACTTTTTTTACTTTTAAGAAAACTATGGTTCATTTCACAGAAAAACACACGCACGCACCCCTCTCCCCCCTTCTACCCATTTAACTCACGAAAAAAAGAGCCTTCCAATTCGTAGGGAACTGAGATCGTTTTGCTCGAGAACTTCAGTACTTCAAGGTTAAAAGTTAACTGCGCGTCCAACCCGGGTCGGTTTCCGGATAGACTGTATTGCAACTCCCATTCTGCTGGCTGACATATGGGATTTGTAGTACAATATTCCTGAAGGGCTCCTAATTGGGGAACGGCTCATTAAGTTCAACATTACAATCAGGAGGTTGTGAGTTCGATCCTAGGTAAAGGCAGATGTAGGGTCTCCTGCTTGGGAAGGGGGTTGGACTAGATGACCTGCAAGGTCCCTTCCAACTCTGTTAATCTGTTTACACTGTCCTTGGTAGACGTTGCAGACAAAACCAAGTCGTGAAGGCGGTTTTAGGTGGGCGTCAGAGCTGGCCGCCTCTTTTGCAGCTAAGCCGACCCCAAGCAGATCATTTCAGCTCGGAGGCTTCGGTTTAGCCGCTACCAGAAGAGCTTGTTTCCTTCACTTATCTTTCCACAAAATTTTAAAAAGCGGGGGGAAGCGGAGACGGCAGCGGCGCTTTAGGAGCTGCTTCTCCCCCTCCTTCCCACCTCGCGCCTCTCCCGGGCTGGCAGAAACTAAAGCGCCGAATCCTCGGCTCCAACCACGCTTTCCTCCAATACAACCCACCGTTTGGCGCGGTCCCGAAAGAGAAGCGCTCCTGCCGCGCGGAGTCCGAGGCGGCGCGGGGAAAGTTCGGGGCTCGAGGCGCGCTGCCCCGCAAGTTGGCAGGAAGTGGCTTCTGGCGGCGTTTCCTCCAAAAAGACTTCGTAGAAATCCTCCCTTCTCCGTCTGGCTGGCTGTCTGGCTGTCTTTGGGACTCTCCACCTCCACTGCTGGAAGGAGAGCGAGGGAGGGAACGGTTGGATCAGCCCCCTCTTCTCCCCCGCTCTAAATTTGGAAGCTGGGGGTGGGGGTGGGAATTCCAGTGAAAACCGAGTTGTTGCCAGAACTATAATCGAGCGACCGCATTCTGTTCCTATGTGCTGTGTGAACCCAGTTATTCGGTGGCCAACTTTATTATTATTATTATTTGTGCTACCCCAGGCTATATGATGCAACCAGTCACAAATTGCTAGGATCACGCTATTGTATATCACTGCAATGATTAATTTTGCTTGCCATTAAGATGCAAATCACAGGGGGTTTTTTTGTGTGTGTGAGTTCTCACTTCATAATTATCAATGGCATCAAACCATTGCTGTAATCAAAGTAATTATCATTTTCTCTTGCATATATAAAGCCAGCCACTGTAGATTTTGGTTTTTCAAATAGATCTTCAGCACTTGTAGAAAGGCTGAAAGGAGTGGGGCCATCCCAATCTCCAGGGATATACTGTCCCATAGGGAGCATGTTGCTCAGTGGTGGGATGAACGTACCTTCCCTACTGGTTCACAAATGTGGGCACGTGCTGTGTCTGCACTTGCGCATCACCTTCTAAGCATGCACAATGCTTGTGCATTATGTCGGAGTGGGTGGGCAGAGTCTCCTGCAGCCGCCGCTACCGGTTCACTCGAATCTCTGGTGCTGCTTCTTCAAAGTTCAACAAGATGGCATTGTTTAACAGAAGGGATGTGGAGGATGTCTTCTCTATTAGGTCAGGAGAGATGAGAAGAAACAATAGGACAAAAGTGGTCCAGCAGTTAGCCTGGCTCTATGCCAGGAGTGTCAAACTTGATTTCATTGAGGGCTGCATGAGGGTTGGGTTTGACCTGGGGGGACTGGAGGCATGGTCAGGGGGGCATGGCCAGCTTGACACCACTCGTGTCGGGGGCACCTGTGGTGGTCTGAAAGCTCTGCCAGCAAAAATGGGCCCCTGAGCTGTTTTTGGCTGGGACAGCTTCCTGCAACACTCGCCAACAAAAACAGAGCTTGGGATCGCCATGTCAGGTCCTCCCAAGCTCCATTTTTGGGCGGGGCAGCCTCCTGTAACCCTCTGCCAGCGAAAATGCAGCCCTCCCGAGCTCCATTTTTGCTGGCAGAGGCACCACGGATCGGTCCTTTGCTGTTTCTAGGGTAGCCCCATGGGCCAGATGTACGTCCCCGTTGGCCGATTCAGCCCATGGGCCTTGAGTTTGACACCCCTGCCCTATGCCATGGAGACTGTATAGGTCATAACTGGTACCTTGAATTACAATTAGAAGCCTTGTGGGGATTGGGATGGGTCATGAAAAAATGGTGTTACATGAACATAATGAGAAGCAGCCAAAACTGTGTGGTGCTGCATTCTGGACCAGTTTCAGCTTCCAAAGTCGTCCCATGAATATCACATTACAGTACTCAAACATGACGTGAGTATGAGTCACCATGAACAAGAATTAAAAGTGGGCAGGGGCCACAAATTCAAGTCTCAGTCCCTTTGTGAAACTTTTAAAAATATTATAAAGTTATTGTTGAACATTATTTAAAAGGATGGTTAACCTCTGCACAAAATTATCCTTTACCTGTGTTATAACTCGATTTTCTCTTTATTTATGTGCCATCAAGTCAGTACCATAATGCAGAGATAGATTCCCCCCCTCCACAATAATGTGTCTTTCCCGTTTTCCAATGGTAATCTCATCTACCATTGTAGCTGAGTTCATATTTACTTGAAATTAAATCTCCATGAAGTCAGTAAAGTTTATTCTCAAGCAAAGTGTTATAGGTTAAAATCTGTAGGCTTATTCTGTTGCAGTGCTGGTTTCATTAAAGCTGTTTAATGTGGCACAGTTTCAATAATCATAGCTCTGAACATATATATATTTTGATGGATTGTTTTATATCGGCTATTCTGCTGCCTTAAGTGAAAACATCTGGAAAAACACATTCAAGTCTCTTATAATAATGCAGCGTTCTTATTTAATCCATCACTAAAAGACATGTACATGTACAGATGTATATTGTGGAAAATTAATGGTCCTACTAGTCGGCTTGGTCAGGTTATGTAACTAATGAATTAAATTATAAAGAATAAACACATTCCCCCTTTTCATGATAAAATTTGAACCCTCCTTATTTTCCACCAAGAAAATGTGTTTTCTTTTATGAGTCACTAGGTAAAAGATCATTTTGCACAATGCCAGCTAACCATATCAAAAGAACAACAGGAAAAGTTTACTGTATCTGTGTATAAGATCAAATTATGATGACTGCAATGCAGTGGTGGTTCTGGATCCTGTTGCAACTGGTATGGTGCAATGGGGCCGGGTGTCTGCCACATGCGTACTTACCTCCCACAATGCTCTGCAATGTCGCTGCGATGCTCCAGTTGCTCAGTGGAGCATCACGCAGGTGCTGTACGCTCCGTGCGTATGCACGGAAGCCCTGAACAGCTCAAATACAGGTAAGGAGTGCAGGCGGGCTGGTGGGCCCTCTGGAGCACCATACCGGAATGGTACCTGGTGCTCCCAGCAGGCACCGGTACACCTGGCATACCAGTCGTATCCCGGCATACGGCATACCGGCATACCAGTCGTATCCCACCATTGCTGCAATGCTATCTTTTATCTTCTAGCTTCAACTCCTCCAGAAACATTTATATCACATTCATATGAAGCTTTGTAGCAGCTCAGAATTGGGCCACAGCTGCTTAATCTCTAGTCAATTCAGATAATCGTGTTGATAACATAAGAAAAGAAATAAGACTTCGGGTTTACAGTATGATTGTTAGTTTTTTGTAGTGAATCTCCACATATGATTATTTATGTCTAACCTGGAAGTCTCCATTTGGTAAATGTATGAATGTTCATGAAGTTTTCCTACAGTAAATATCCATTCCTTAAACATACAGCCTGCCTCTTCACCCTTGACTAAGAGAAGGGAGGATAGGTAGAGTGGCTCACTACTCTAAACGTGTTGGATTAAATATAATAAAATCCATGGTGGTGCGGTGTTTAGAACGTAGTCCTGCCATTTAACTCACTGCTCACTCCAGGAGTTTGATTCTGAGCAACTCAACGTTGGCTCAGCCTTCCATCCTTCTGAGGTCGGTAAAAATGAGGATTGTTTGGGACAATATGTTAACATTGTAAAACCACTTAAAGAGGGCTGTAAAGCACTATGAAGTGGCATGTAAGTCTAAGTCGCTAGCATCCTGCCATATAATGAGGTCATTTTATGACCTCATTTTTTGACCTCAAACTATTGCTCTCCTTCAATTGAGATAGGGGTTGGAAGTGGTTTAATTGCAGGGCTCAAGGATGAAGTAATTGCCAACTTTAACCAGCTACAATGGAAAACTGGGTAAATGTGTTTTGAGATTTTTGGGCAAGTCTACAGTAATTGTACTGTTAAGGGATTGATGATTCTAATTATGGCAAAAGCTCCAATGTACTTAGGTTCAAGTGTTATTTGGACTGAAGGTATTTGGTGGACAAATAGACTTTATTTCCAGTGTTAAAGTCCTTTGGCTTAAGGGCATTTTTGTCAGCTTGTTTCTTGTTTCACGTGCCTCCTCCAGGGCTTTGCAAACCATCAGACAAGTGCTTTGTAGTTGAGCGACCCAGTCTGTCAGGGAAGTGTTCTGGGCTGTGTGTGAATTGTGGCCATTCTGGAATGGCTACAAAGTCTTGATCCCTTTCCACTCGGAACCATGCAAATCCAGTGCTGCTGTGGACTGCATTGTTATAAGCTACTTTAGCAAGGTCATCACAGTTGTCTTGGGAAGGGCGGCTCACTACTCTTCACGTATTGGATTAAACATATTCATGGGGCACCACAGAGTTGAGATTCCTTAGCTTTGTTCTTTGGCTAATTGAATCTGGCAGTTTTGAAAGAAAATATTTTGTTGGAGCCGCTATTGTTATTTTGTCCTATTGCAGAAATGAGACACAAACCACAGAAAAATTATTCTGGACTTACCCTTAGGAATTTAATCATAGCTGTAATCAAACCATTTCAGCCAGGAAAAAAAAAAACGGCAGCCAAATCTTATTCTTCATTATATTGTAGTCCAGGGTTGAAATGAGGGGTCCTTGGTGCTGTCTGAATTTGGTTGTTTTCTTGCATATGTTTCATTACCCAAATTGGTAACAACAAACTAGGTAAAACAGCAATGTCTAGTTCATTTTTCATTGTTTTCTTTCAGGGTAATTGGGGATGAGGAGTGTGGGGCAAGGAAAATTGAGGAAAATTAATTAAGGGGCCTTAATTATTATTTCCATGTCTTTGAATTTCAAATAGCTTTCAGAATATAGCAGCAGCAGGTGATTCTATGCATCTGTTGCTAGCTCAGGGCACTGACTGCCTGTAATATCTTTGACTACCATAATTTTGTTGCAATCATGCAGTTTGAATATTCATAACCGTCACAGATATTGCAGGTCTCAGCAACTTATACAACCAGATCCATTCTTCTTCTGACTCCCTTTTCACAGTCTTTGAAAACCACCTCTATTATCAAAAATTGGTGACATGATATGACTGACTATTACATATGTATTTAGCAGGGAGGGGGATTCAAAAAAATTTGCCACTGGTTCAGTGGGCGTGGCTAAGTGGGGGGCTGTGACTGCCAGCATGACGTCACTCACATTCACACCCATTCAGTCACATGATTCCCCCCACCTAGCCACGCCCACCAAATAGATGGCAAAAAATTCTCTTTTGCCAACTGGGAAGCTGGCAAACAAGCCTCCCATCTGCCACCCCATCTTTGAAGGGGACAATAACAAAATACAGCAATAGTCTTTCCAAGAAACAACTTTAATGTCCAAATTGATTTTGACTCACGAAAAACTGCTTTTATTGGTGGTGCAACACGCTCACGACTCCTCTGCACCATGCTGGCTTTCCCCGCCACTGCGGTT